ATAGTAGTACGTAACACCGTCGGAAAATTTAACAGTTTACTAAATTTACACAGGAATGTCTTTAGTTTCCTATTTAATTTAGCTGCCGTCGGCTTTTGGCAAGGAAATATGTATGTATGTATGTCATACGATTTTTTTGAAAACCCTTAAAACTTAATTTTCATATGCATAATCCTTTAAATATAGATTTTATTCGAATTAAATTGTAGATTTTTTTTTAATATTCAATGCATTTTTTTACCACGAAAAGCCGTTGGGCGTTGATGAAGAATTTTCTGCTTAAAATTACTTCAAATCGAAGAATCAAAAATATTATTATTGCAAATGATGAATATATGTGTGTATTAATGAGAGAACTAGTAAAATTTTTGATGTTTGATAAAATGTAGWTTTCGCAAGGAAAAATGTAGTTTTTTGGAAAAAAGTTTACATTTCAGCTAGAGTTAAAAACGAAATTTATATCAAAATACTTATTTCTTCATTCATAACTTGAAAGTACATGCATATCCAAGCAAATTGTATGAAATTTTGAGCCGTTCGGTGGTGCCCTTTCGGAGAAATTACCTCCACCGACTTTGAGAACAATTTTTAGACAAAACCGACTACGCTGAGTCGGAAATTTTTACAAATACATATGTATGCTCCTATATCCGAAACTACTTACCGGATCATCTTAAACAGCCCGGTGAATATTTTAAATATATTTTCATTCGATGTATAATGTATAAATTTTTTTTAATACAAAAGTGAATATAATACCATAATTAATATCCCAAAAAATTAAAACAAATTGAATTTTATTTCCCAATTCTTATTTGTCGTTAGATAATTCCTTTATTTTACTCCTTAAATTTATCAACTCCCTTCATTCTTTCGAAGATTTATTTTTGTGCCTTCGTTTCTCATACTTATAGGTAACAGTTATTACCCTCTCAGCGTCCTCTAAAACTCGTATACTATTCTYACTAATTAGGCGCGTGTAATTTATAACGCCTCTCTTGCCCCACAAAATGTCAAGCTRATAATGATTACAAGATTATTACGACTTGAATGCCGACATTCCGGTAGCGATTACATGTCCATGCAAAATATAATGGACCCCTCCAGTACACGATAGGCAACTGCACCCATCCATGCAATACAACAAAACACACAAACAATGAACAACAAACGCTTGAGTACAGCAATCAACAAACTTTTGTTTGTTCGCACATWTTTTTCCGCCACTTCAAATTCTATCACAATATTGAGCAATCATGTACTACAAATACAAAYGCATACATATACTATATGAAAAGATGATATGTGTTCCAGCTACCCCAAAGGATATTGGAAATGTTAGATAAAAGAAAAAATATGAAAACAATGAATGAAAGGCTGGTTAACACATAGGTGAAAGGCGCTTGCCTATTGTGGTGGAAAATATCMAAAAAAAGTAGCCCAATCCGTTACCAAGGCTTGCGCTCCTGCAGGGATGCTTAGGATATACAGGGGAGAGTATAAGAGCGGCGAAGAACATACAAGCGCAATTGGATTTAAGATAAGGAAGATCACGTGCACTTTCATATTGTTGTTTTTGTTTGAGCACATTGTTTTTGTAACCTTTTTCCACTCATTGCACATTAGCACAGCATTTGCTTTCATATTTTGCTGTTTTTGTTGCTATTGGAGTTGACTGATTGGCTGGATGGTCGGTTGTAAGCAACACCTCAGGTGTGGCTGATGCTTAGTTGCACGAGATAAGGGACTCTGGAATAAACATTTTTTGTAATAAAAATTCGCTTGTCGATTTTGCTGGCTGGCAGCACAAGCCAAAAAAGGCGTGAACAAGGCTGTTGTTGTTTTAGGTGATTACTTACAACTTGTGGCGCGATCAAATAGGGGTAGCATGCAACATTTATACTCCCTGCGCGTTTGTGGCACCTTTCTATTCACATATGTATGAGTGTGCGCCTCTGCGGTATTTTGCGGTGCCAAATAGGGTTCATTGTTGTGCCACCTCTGGATGTCCTAATTTTGACCATTGAGGTCAAGATGATATTTAACGCTTGTTTTTGCTTTGTCTTCATTTGCTTGTTGATTGCTACATTTTTTACAGCCTTTTTATAATCTGTCCTTGCACAATACAAGTCATTTATAATTCGTTACTTTTCTTTGTTCTTCTCTTTCTATTTGCAGCTTTACGAGATCAACGATGATCCGAAAAGAAAAGAATTTCTGGATGACTTATTTTCATTCATGCAAAAGAGAGGTGAGTACTGATTACACATTCCTTCGATAATAATCTAGTTTACGTTACATATAATTTACAATGTAAATTATGTTAATTAAACGCTATTGATTTGAGGGAAGAAAGAAGAATTAACGAAAAATATTTAAAACAAGTATTTATTTGAAAATGAAATTATGCACATAATAAAAATTAAAATATGAAATATATCTATAGGATATACATATGTTTACAATTTTATGCAAATGAAGTCTGCGAACCCTTCGTAACACAGTTTTCCGATCCAATGTGAGTGAATGTGTTAGAAATCAATAATATTTAAATAGGAATATTTTTTTTAAGTAAGAAATTGATTCA